TGTCGCCCTTCGCCTGCTCGGCCTTCCCTCCTCTGATTGCTCGCCTGCGCCTCCTCCGCCCCCCCCTCCCCTCCCTGTCTACGGCCCTGTGTTCCCTCCGTCGGACTCGTCCCTGGCTCGTTTTCCCCCTTGTTCCCCTCCTATTCCTCTTCCTGTGTCTCCTGACCCGACGCCCCCGTCCCACTTCTGGTCTCGCCGTCCCTCTCGTGCCCGTCCTATCTCTCCTGTTCAGCGCTCTTACCCTATGTTGCTTCGTTCTCAGACGTCTTGTCTTCCCCTTCTCCCGTCGCCTCCTCCGTCGTTGCTTGTTGTCACTCCACCTCCTCTATCTGACTACCTTCATGCTGCTAGTCCTCTCATTCCTCGAGTCCTTGCATCCCTCGTTAACGACCTGACTGTTCCTGTCTCGAGTCTTGATGCTCTTGTCGAAACTGTCGCTGACTTTGCCTCTACCCGCCACCTTGACTACGCCACTGCTCTGGTCTCTGACCCTGTCCGTCCTCGGTCCGTCGGGGGTGCTCCTGCCCTTGGCAGTTATGTCCAAAAGGACAGGCAGTCGGAGCTTGCTTTCCTGTCTGAGGCTGCTCCCCATCTCTGTTCCATGCTGCTAGTCCCTGACCCAGACGCCTTTGACATCCCGACCCCTCGCACCTACTCTGAGGCGACCTCGGGACCCTGGCCCTCTCAGTGGATAGCTGCCATGGAGCAGGAGATGGCATCTGGGAGATCCACCGGCACCTACATCGACGCAGTTCCCCCGCCTGGGGTGAACGTAGTCGATGGCCGGTGGCTCTTCAAGGTGAAGCCCCTCCCTGGAGAGCCGCCTGTGTTCAAGGCGCGTTATGTGGCTAGAGGGTGTGGAGTTCTTTTCGACCTTCATACGGAGTCCGAAGATGACTACTCTTTGTGCGCTGCTACACGTAGCAGCACTGCGTGAATACGAGCTCCACTCCCTCGAATTCTCCACCTTTTTTTTTTCACGACAGCCTACACGAGCAGGTCTACCTGCGTCGTCCACAGGGCTTTACCGATACCTTCCCTTCTGGGACCCACTGGCTCCTCCGACGCTCGGTCTACGGCCTGTGACAGGCGCCTCATGAGTGGCACGATACTCTGCGTGCTACGCTAGCTGACCTTAAGTTCTTCCTCGTCGTCTACAGACCCCTTGCTCTTCGTTCATGCTGGCCAGACCCCATTCCACATCCTTGTCTACGTAGATGACCTGGTCTTCGCTACTGCAGACAAAGACGCACTGGCCTCTGTGAAGGCCGAGCTGCTGAGGCGACACACCTACACTGACCTTGGAGAGCTGCGCCGCTACCTTGGCCTGCAGATCTCCAGGGACAGAGAAGCGCGCACCATCACCCTCATACAGTTACACTTGGTGTGGCAGGTCCTTCAGAGGTTCGGCCTTCACGTCCTTCAGATAACTTGCACTCGTCCTGATCTCGCATAACCTCTCAGCATCATGGCTCGCTTTGTGGCATCATGCAGACACCAGCCACAGCACTGGTCGGCAGCTAAGAGGGTTTTGCGTTATCTACCAAGTACATCGGGCATGGGGCTCGTGCTGGGAGGATGCAGGCCAGTGGTCCTTACTGGGAATACAGACGCTTCGTGGGCAAACGACGCTGAGATACTCAGGTCCTCCCAAGGCTACTGTTTTAGCCTTGGTTCATGTGCCATTTCGTAGAGGTCCACTCGCTCTACGTCTGTTGCCCATTCTAGCTGTAAGGCTGAGATCTATGCCGGTGCCATGGCGGCATAGGAGCTCCGCTTGTTGTCCTTCATGCTCACAGACTTAGGTGAGCGACCTAGTTCTGCTTCGGTCATGTACGCTGAGAACAGGGCCATGATTCTCGTGTGTCAGGAGCCTCGACTTGAGGGAAGAGCAAAGCACATCCAGCTGCGATACTTCCTCCTGCGCGAGCTACAGCAGCGCCGCCAGACCCGCGTAGTACACTTGACCCCTGATGCCCAACACAGCTGATACCTTTACGAAGGCGCTTGCGCCTAAAGATCATCAGTTACACTGTTTGCAGCTTGGTCTAGTTCCTGTAGCTCTTCACTTGCTAGGACCTTTATTGTGTACTCCTCTTTATATATACCATCTTGACTGGCCTTGTGGCTTGTCTTCTTGTGGCCAGACTATTAGTCCCGTTCTAGTTTGCTCTTGTCTTGTTTGTACTCTTGCTGACTGGTCTTCGGACCCCTACATCAGAGGTTGGACTAGTAGTGCCACTCTGAGCTACGCGTTCCTTGCTCAGCACTGCCCTTTATCTAGCCTAGGGGGTGTGTCAACTTGTACATATGTCTATATGTAGTAGTTATATACTAGATAGGTTTGTGTTCATAGAGGCTACAGCTCCAACCCTATAGCTCCCCTGTTGTCACTTGTTCTAGTCATACTGCTATTCTAGCAGACGCGAAGTGTCGAAGGGCGTAAATTGTGCTTCTGGATGGCACAAAGCGAGAATTATCGCTATTACCCGAACTCGTTCCTTCGTTTTTGCACCTTTTTTACGGAATAAAAGAGGGGCGTATAGGGTACACACTTTCGAAAAGTAGGGGGGCGTTTAATGAAATAATAGCTAGAAGGCCCAAAGCACGAGGTAAAGCCCATGAGACTTATCCTACAAAGGGGCGTTTGTCCAGGAGATTATGGTAGAACATTTTATGGAAATATTTTGATGATTCTATTGTCTATCTTAACCCCGTGAATGATAGGGGGTGCTGTAACCGATCCAATCCAGATATTGTTTTTGGAAGAACGTACTCTTGATATGGTTTTCTTCATCTTATGAGTTACTAGCCGAATTTCTCATTAGGCTGATAAATATTGTAGAAACGCCCCCCTAATGCTGTTTTATAGGTTCCCGTTCCGACCAATTTGAAACGGGGACAGGAATGAACGCCTTTGCGGCTGCGCGCCAATGCCCGTGAGCGGTGCGAAGGGTGAGTGGCCTGTTGGGGCAAGATTGGGGATGGGGTGGGGTGGAGTGGAGTGGGGGGAGGAGCAGAAGAATGAAGCTCCCTCTCCTTCCCCAACCCTCCCACTCACGCGATTTGCCTGAACTGAACCACCAACCTGTGCTTTCTGGCGCGTTTGCCAGCTGAACGTGCGCGGCTGTGGGTTTTGCGCCGAACGCACGTTCAGCTCATGGATTGGCTGACCGCATCACCTACTTCGTAGGGTGGCATCAGTGTGGCGCTAGCTCTGTAGTGTTGCACTTGTTGGAATTTGGTGGAATTCAATGGGGAAATTTTTGCGGCAGATGGAGGCCAAAGTACGCATGAGGTTGTACTGTACTGTACTGTGAAGTTTCAACAGTTTGGGCAGCCTACTGAACAGATGGGGTTTCCGATTGAACATCCACGGCGCAGAATAGCTTTCCGCGCATTCTTTGCTCTTCCACGGCGTATAGCGTCCCCCAGGTCGTCGTGATTCTCCCGAGAACGTGGGTGGCGGTGTCCTCCGTATGTCCAGTTCGGTTCCGTGGCAGGGCTAATTTCTCGTTTTTCAAGACCCATGGTCTCAGGATTCGCGTCACTAAAGACCCTAAAAAAACAAAATCAGCATTCCATGGAAAATCTCACTTTATTTCAGGATTACTTTGATCTTTCATTATGAAATTCAGAGTGTTTTTTGGGACTCCATACATATTAGCGAAACCCGTGGGCCCTTTCGAGTACAAGCAGGAAGGACATCCATGGAAGAAACGATGGAGAAGAATACAGAGCACACACTTGCTGCTGCTGCAGTCCCACACCACCACACCAAGTTCGAAACTTTCCTTCGTCAATCGCGACAGAAATCCGTACAACTTAGAGGGACAGTGCGCAACCTGGCTAAGGTGATATTAAGGGGTTGTGATAAGTCTGACAGCCCTGCAATTCTGTAGTTGTGAAAGTTCCACGGGTCGCACCTTCAGATTGCAAGGAAAATTGGTCAGGGTTGCGAAGGAATTTGGGGGGGGGGGGAGGGGTAGGGTTGCACTTCCAGCACGGATGGTTTTCATGCCGGTCGGATAGCCTGGATAAAATTTCGTGCAATCCGGATTACTCAGGATTTTCTTAGAAATTCTTGGAATCAGTCAGGAGATTTTTGAGTCCGAAACCCTCAAAATCAGGATTTCAGCGGCAAAGACCCGGAAGGTACCTGACATTCCGGATGTTTACCCTTGAACCAGGAGCCCAATTCTGTGGTCCACCCTTGCACGCAGTCACCACGCGGAAAATCACGGGCAGCGCGTGGGGCAGAAAGAAAGATGGTGTCACCACGGACGGCGTATGGTGTGGGGTGGGGAGGACACGCGGGATTTGGTTGTTCACCCGAACCGCGGACCGGACCTCCATCCATTTCACTGACGAGGAAACGGGGGTTTTACAGGCGGCATGTTGGGGGGCCGCGGGGTGAGGGTTCGTGCGGAGCACCCATGGCCTGGTGGAAGAAAAGCGGAGAAATCTTATGGGAAGCGGAGAAGAGCAAAGAATGCGCGGAGATCCCAAGGAATGCGGAGATCTGGGGGGTGAAGTGAGGGGGGAGGACCAAGTATGTGGGAGGAAGCTGAAGGCGATGGACAGAAGCGAGAATCTGTGTGGCGCAGGATAGCTGACAGTAACAGCAACAAGTTCGTCAGGAACAGATAGGCGATCACCCAATCTCACACAAACATCCAGAACCCATACTAACCGTACAGTTCCTCAATAATCTTGCTTCTGTCAGCCAGACCGAGTTGTGCGAACGGAAGAAAAGCAGACGGAGGAGCAGTAGGCGATTGACGGCAACCTGGTAACTCGGTTAACGGAGAAATTCAAAGCCGGCGAACATGTCAGTTCTGTTTCCGAGATCCGCCGCTTTCCGTTCCGTCTGTTCCTTCTGCTCCTTCTGTTCCTTTCAAACCACCGAAGGGGCCTAGGCTAGCCTAGGGATCGCCCCACCAAGGTAACGTCGCAAGGGATATCTGTGGTTGGGTAGCCTGGTAGGTTATTATTGTTCTCCGCCTGAGTCTTGTAAGTGAGTATTTATAGGTGCTGATTTGTCAGCGCCATCAGTCGTTCCCATTTAGGCGCAGCGACCCCACCTCCTGCGGCTAGTGGTCCATCGCCATTCCGTTCATTCCGTCAGTTCCATATTTACACATTCCTAAGTCTTCCAGGATCTAACTCCAAATCCCATCGCACACAACTCTCACGTCACCGTTACCAACCGATACTGTAATTACGAATTTCGCTGACGCATCTCCAGTCATCCACAGTCTCCGGAGCTCACATTCCCGACGACCTACCGACTTTATCTACTGAAATTCTTTTTTCGTAACTTCTCACTATTTTCCGCGGATTCGTTATGGGCGCATCGTCTGACCCTTATATGGCGTACAGAGGAGGCAAGATCTACCGAGGAGGCGACAAGCTGCAGGATCCTTACTCCGTCAGATATGACGGAATCGACCGGATCTTAACCGGCCGGCCGCTTTCCGACGATGGCGAAAACGACAGCAGTAGCGACTCCAGCAGCCCGAAGAAGCTTCGCCGAAGGACCCTGGCGTCCGACGTGCTCCCGCTCCCGCTCTGGCTGACCAACATCGTCTTCCTGCTAACGTTTATTTTCTCCTGCTGCTACCTCCTTCAGCAATGGCGGGAGCAGCTTTACTCGTCTGAGAAGCTTCACGAATTGTTATGGCGCGACCTGGTCGCGGTTTGCCTCGGTATGGGCTCCTTCATTTATCTTATAAACTTCTTCGGGGTTGGATATGTACAGTCGGCCATCGAGCAGAGTATGATTTCCGAGGAAGATGTGAAGGAAAGAGAGGAAGAGGAGGAGGAAGAGGAGGAGGGGGAGGAGGAGGAGGAGGAAGAGGAGGATCCGAAGAAGCTGCTTTTCCGCCAGGGGCGCACCGGTCCGCGCAGACACTACGTTCCGCCTCCCCCGGAGCCTCGGTATAACCCGGTCCCGAGCCCATCTCCTCCCGCTACAACCACATCGGCTACAAGCACGCCCGCTCCCACGGCACCGAAGTCCTGCGGCGTCAAGCTCGACAGCTCGTCCTCGCTACAAGACGTCCCGCTACAAGACCTCCCGGACGACGATATCGCGCACGCCGTCGCGCGCGGCGCCATTCCCATGCACTCCCTCGAGGCGCAACTCGGCAACACCCTCCGCGCCGCCGCGGTCCGGCGCCGCGCCGTGGAGATTAAAACCGGCCGGTCCCTATCCGGCCTCCCCCTCGAGAACTACGACTACGACGCGATCCGCGGCGCGTGCTGCGAGATGGTGATCGGGCACGTGGCGGTGCCGGTGGGCGTAGCGGGGCCGCTGCGGCTGGACGGGGCAGACGTGTTTGTCCCCATGGCCACCACCGAGGGCTGCCTCATCGCCAGCACCAACCGCGGCTGCAAGGCCCTCTGCGCCGCCGGCGGAGCGCGCAGCGTGGTGCTGCGCGACGGCATGACGCGCGCGCCCGCCGTGCAGCTGCCGTCGGCGCTGCGCGCGGCGGAGCTGAAAGCGTTTGCGGAGAGTCCGGAGAACTGGGACATGCTGGCGGACGCGTTCAACAGCAGCAGCAGGTACTGTTCTCGGGTTACATTTCAGCGCCGTACGCGCTACTGAGTCGTAACTAATCAGGTTTTCCACTACCGCATTTTCCATCCCCTGCGTTCCCCATCTCCCCCCTCCATCTTTTTCTCCGCCTCTATTTGCTCCGCCCCTTCAGCGCAGACTTCCGACATCCGCGCGCATCGCCTTTGTTCACGTTTTCACTTCTCCCTGCCCCTTTCCCCTCCCGCCACTCCCCCAGGTTCGCGCGGCTGCAGAGCATCAGCGTGGCAGTCGCGGGGCGCACGGCGTTCGTGCGCGTGGAGAGCAGCACGGGCGACGCGATGGGGATGAACATGGTGTCCAAGGGCACGCGCAACGTGCTCGGCGCGCTGCTGGGCGCGTTCCCGGACCTGCGCGTGGTGAGCATGTCGGGCAACTACTGCGCCGACAAGAAGGCCACTGCCGTCAACTGGATCCACGGCAGGGGGAAATCCGTCGTCTGCGAAGCCACCATCCCGGGCCACGTGGTACGTTGCTCCTCCTCAACCCCTGCCCTCCCCCTTGCCCTCCCCCTGCCTTCCCCCTGCCCTCCCGCCTGCACTCCTCCCCTCCTGTTCTCCTTATCCCTCTGCTTCTCCCGCTCACCCTCCCCCTGTCTCCCCTCCCCTGTCAACACGGCCAACACTCTGGTGGGGTCGGCCATGACGCAACACCATCTGGTGCTGTCCCTTGCTTGCTCCGGTACTGTCCCTCTCTGCACGTCCAGAGAGTGGTCAAGACAACGGTAGCAGCGCTGGTCGAGTTCACCACGGCCAAGAGCCTGGTGGTGTTGGCCATCGTTAAACCCTCATCCTCCTCGCTTTCTTCCCTCCTCTTCCTCTCCCTGCAGGTGCGGTCGGTGCTCAAGACGTCAGTGGAGGCCCTGGTGGAGCCGAGCACGACCAAGAACCTGGTGGGGTCTTCCATGGCTCAACCACTGCCTCCCTGCATTCTTCCCTCCATCCCCCCTCCTCTCCCTGCAGGTGCGGTCGGTGCTCAAGACGTCAGTGGAGGCCCTGGTCGAGCTGAACACGACCAAGAACCTGGTGGGGTCGGCGATGGCGGGCGCGGTGGGCGGGAGCAACGCGCACGCGGCCAACATGGTGGCGGCGGTGTTCCTGGCCACGGGGCAGGACCCCGCACAGGTCGTCGAGAGTTCTCAGTGCCTCACGCTGCTGGAGCCTGCCAATGGCGGCGCCGACCTGCACGCCTCTGTCACCATGCCCTGCATCGAGGTCGGCACTGTGGGGGAGGAACCTTCCTAGCGCCGCAGGCGGCAGCGCTGTCCCTGCTGGG